GTTTGTGAGCCGCTCTGAGACTCCTTCGGGTAGTGAAGGGCGGGGTATAAATCCAACCTCTTCTTCTTCTTCAAGGCAAGATGGGCGTCCTTTGGGCCGGGGACATCCAGGAGATGTTGGTCCACAGCGTGTAATGCTCTCCGGAGTGTCTACAGGAAGAGGCGGTCCCTCAGATATGTTGGTCCCAGGCCTTCTTAGAAAGTCTGTATTTTTGTGGGGCTGCTGTGGCTGTTGGTAGTTGGAGCTGTTCCAGTTGTTCCTGAGGCGTGGCTGTCTTCCAAGCAAATGACACCAGAGTTGTAGGGAACCTAGTCCTGTCAGTCCATTAAAGGTAGCCCGCCCCAAGGCTCAGGGCAATTGCCCCAAGGGGTCCAATCCTACAGGCCCTTCCAGAAAAATGCCTCCTACTTTCCCCCAGTGTTTCCGGGGGTGGGGGGAATTCCATACTTTCCCTAGGGCAGAAAAGCCAATAGCCCAACACAAAAGAGTAACAACTTGGCAAAAGCCTCAGAATGCAGAAAGAGCCAACAAGCCCAGCAGAGACGATGTCAAACCAGAGAACCCAAGCCAAACCCACTTACTCAAGGGGTGCTCTTGCAAGCCGTCAGAGCCAATAACAACATGGAGAATCCAGGCCAAACCAACTTAAGCAAGGGACACTTTTTTTCAAGGCCAACCAAACCTTTAAGATCGAAGAAAAACGGGCCTAGGAGCCTTAAAACGCTGGCCTCGAATATTTCCAGGATTTTGGGGGACCCAGTTATCAGTATTCTGAGAAATCTCGATATTTCAATTTCGATTTCAATTTATTACAGGTCTATATGACCGAAGTCTTGACCAAGAGGATAAAATAGGTACATAAAATAGACATAAATGTGTCAAGGTACATAATCACAGTCACATAAAACCCAGGCTGAGCCCAGAGATTAAAAATTACCTAATCTTGATATTGTTCCGGATACCAAATATATATATAAAAAATACCAGTAAGGTATTTTTCAGATATATATTTGGACTGGAAATAATGCACATTCCCTAGTCCTGTGCTCCCTTAGACCAACTTCTATATTTGTAGGTTGCAGAAGGATGGCATCTTCTTGACGGCCAGGGCCTTCTCGGTGGTGGCTCCATACTGGTGGAACGAGCTCCAGGAAGAAACCAGGCCCCTGCGGGACCTTTTACAGTTCCGCAGGGCCTGTAAGACGGAGCTCTTCTGCCAGGCTTTTGACGAAGGAGCCGCATTACACACCGAGGAGTGTCCCTGTGCCCTGGCTTTACCATCTGTCATCCCCAGCCTGTGCCCGCCACGCAATAAGTTGAGTGAACTCGGCTGGCGTGGATACCAGTGGAGCGTAACGGTCACCTAAGCTGTATAATAAATTACTTTGCTCTCGTTTTTACCAGATCATGTTCCAGCATTTTAGGAGTACTTTAATGACTGTTATTTTATGTCTACATGCCTCTGTTAGGTTTCAGTTATATTTTATATGAAATTCTATGTAGCCCGCTTGGTGGGGAGGGCGGGGTATACATTGAATTAATCAAGTAAATATATTCCCCCTCATCATGTTCTAGAATCTCATAATCCCTGAACGCTTTCTGTCTTCCGGCCTTTGGTCGCTCAGCTTAACAATTTCCCCTTCCACCGAGTCTCCCTTTTGCTCTAGTGGCCATAGTCGGTGTGTCGCTCTCTGCCTGGACGAAGCCCCTTCTGACGTGGCTCTCTTTGCCTTCTCTTTCTAGCGCTGGAGCACGTTCCAAACTCTGTGCGCTTGTGGAAGGCAGCGGTGGAGCTGGAAGAGCCTGAAGACGCCAGGATCATGCTCAGCCGGGCTGTGGAGTGCTGCCCCACCAGCGTGGAAGTAAGTTAGTGCTGCTCTGCTTCCCCTGTTCCTGCAAACGGCCCTGTTGTATCGGGTGTTCTGCTCCAAAGAACTCAAAACACGTAGTCATGATTAAGCCATACTGATTTTGCTTTATGGTACGAAAGTCAGCATGCAGCTAGGGAAGGCTCCCCACCCCCCTTGAAATCCACTGCAGTTGTGGCCAATGTTCCCTCTAAGCTGTGGAGCCTTGTGAGCAAAAATTCTACCTTGTGAGCTACTGGCATTAAAGTTGTGAGTGAGCAATTTGGCTACTAGTTTGCTCTGGAGCCATCCTTCCTGAGCTGAGACAAAAAAGTGTGAGCCAGAGGCTAAAAAACCTCAGCTTAGAGGGAACGCTGGTTGTGGCATCCTTTTGCAAACACTCAAGGCCAGGGGTGGCCAAACTGTGGCTCTCCATCTATTTGCTCTCCTTCCTTCCTTCCTTCCTTCCTTCCTTCCTTCCTTCCTTCCTTCCTTCCTTCCTTCCTTCCTCCCTCCCTCCCTCCCTCCCTCCCTCCCTCATAATGAGCTGTCCTTGAAAAAGAGCAGTTTCTGTCAGAGCTCTCTCAGCCCTGCCTACCTCACAGGGTATCTGTTGTGGGGAGGGGAAGGGAAAGGAGTTTGTAAGCCGCTCTGAGACTCCAAGTGAAGGGCGGGGTATAAATCCAATCTCTTCTTCTTCTTCCCTCCCTCCCTCATCTATTTGCTTTCTTTGTTTATCTCTCTCTCTTTCTTTCCACCTCTTTCATTCTTTCTTTCCACCTTTCTCTTTCTCTCTCTCTTAGACAAATGAATATCATTGGATAAATAAACATTATCAATATCTGCTTTTACCCCTTCTGTTTTTATCTTTGGCCGTCTCATTTAATGTTAACAGAAAGCAAATTTGCATATCTTCCAATAAAAACGCTAGTGTAATATTCGGTCATGTCTTGTGGCTCTCAAACATCTGACATTTATTCTGTGTGCCTCTTACGTTAAGCAAGTTTGGCCACCCCTGCTCAAGGCCAAACCACTTGATACATTTTTATACAATTCTGGGCCGGACCCAAGTCCTTTTTTCTTTAACTGCACAACAGCTGTGGGGAGTGTCGTTTTAGAAGTCCACGGGGGCCTAATTCAGCTCGGTACCACCCCACCGGGGGGGGGGGGCTTGTATGTACAACTCCAACCGACGGAGCAAATAACTCCCTCCCAGGCCATTTCATCTTGGGGAAATGGTGTGCTGGTGTGTATGGGGTCTCGGGAACCCCTCCTTCCCATGCCACAATCCCGAGCCGAATTGAGCCCCTGCGACTTTTATAACACCCTTCCCTGCACCTGTGTGCCTGGGTTTCCCATACCCTATTCTTTAACAACCATATTGTGAAGTTTGGCCCTCTAACATACCACAATGTGTGAATCTGAGCTGTAAGAAGAGAGCTTAATTGGAAACACAGGACCAGTAATGATTTGACACTGGCAGTCTCCTTTACCCTGTTTAAGAGCTTAGTAGCGGAACACGTTCCTTTCTTCCCGACCCTTTCCCTTCCGAACTTCCTCCCTCCCTCCCTCCCTGTAATCTCTCGGCCGTCCTTAACTTCGGTTAAGCTTCATGTCTGCGCTGATGTCCACTATGGCTCATGCTAGTCAGGGCACCCTCTTTACCAGCAAGATGTAGTGGTTAAGAGCGGCGGACTGTAATATTTATTTATTTATTTATTTATTATTAAATTTATACCCCACCCTTCCCCGTAGGGCTCAGGGCGGCTATCAAGGCAAGAAAAGGCTTGGTAATAAAACATCAATACACTAATACAGTTAAAACACCATGTACAATTTAAAACCAATAAAACAATTAAAGTGCTCAGTAACCACAATCCTTCCAGAATCTCAGAAACTCAAAGAGGGCGACCACAACCCTAACACAACCCCAACATTCCCAGTAGGCATTGATTAGATGTTAACAGTAGTTTTACCCGGCCTTCTAGCCCTAACCTCCCCCAAGATGGTATATTGGGGAGCAATGCTCCCTCTAAGCTGTGGAGTCTTGTGCGCAAAAATCCTACTTTGTGCACAACTGGCATTAAAGCGGTGAGCGAGCGCTTTGGCTGCTGCATAAATTAGTTTGCTCTGGAAGCCCTCCTTCCTGAGCTGAAACAAAAATGTGTGAGCCAGAGGCTAAAAAACTGTGAGCTAGCCCACACTAACTCAGCTTAGTGGGAACACTGGTGGAGAGAGGAAAGGAAGGAGATTGCAAGCAGCGTTCCCTCTAAGCTGAGAGAGTGTGAGCTAGCTCACAGTTTTTTTCATTAGCCAACGTGATTATTATTAGAAGAGATTGGATTTATACCCCACCCTTCACTACCCGGAGGAGTCTCAGAGTAGTTTACAATCCCCTTTCCCTTCTCCTCCCTACAGCAGACACCTTTCGAGGACTGCTTGTGAGAGAACAGCTCTGAAAGGTCTTGTGACTGACTCAGGGTCACCCCAGCAGCTGCATGCAGAGGAGTGGGGAATGTAACCTGGTTCTCCCGGATTAGAGTCTGTGCTCCTAACCACCACACCAAACTGGCTTGGTTTTAGGGATCTTGTGTCTGGTTATTTTGTCATTGATTTTGTTTTTTATGCTTCCGACTGTCCAGTTATAATCAGTTTCACGTCAAAGGAGAGAGAGAGGGAGAGGAAAGGGTGGTTTGGGGAATATTACGGAAGAGACTCTCGCGTGCAGTGAGTGAAGCCGTCTTACTGTTGGGTGCTTTCTCCTCCTGCAATGCAGCTTTGGCTCGCTTTGGCAAGGCTGGAAACCTACGAGAACGCCCGCAAAGTCCTCAACAAGGCCCGAGAGAACATTCCCACGGACCGGCACATCTGGATCACAGCTGCCAAGCTGGAGGAGGCAAATGGGAACACTCAGATGGTGGAGAAGATCGTTGACCGAGCCATCACCTCGTTAAGGGCTAACGGGGTGGAAATAAACCGGGAGCAGTGGATCCAGGTGCCCGTTTGGATTTTCTCCTCGGGAATCCCATTGGAGGGTGACGTTGTGTGTGTGTGTGGGGGGTTGTCTACTGTAATTTGTGTTCAGAGTGGATGTTAGGAGGCAGTCCGGTTTGAGCGGACGCAGGAAATAACTTTCATTGCACAATATCCAATGGATACTTGGGCGTTTCCACAGTCTGCCCACAAAAACTCTGGCCATAAATAAATATGTCAGACTGTAAGGTAGCCTCAGTCTAAAAACAGCCGCTTCTCTGGAACCTGCAGTGCAGATCTGCAGTGAATGACGGAGGTGGAATGTGGCAACGAGAAAGAAGGGAGAAGTTGTGTTGTTAAACGTCATAGTCTTAAGAATGCAGGAAGAGCCCTGCTGGATCAGGCCCATCTGGGTCCAGCATCCTGTCTCACACTTTGGCCAACCAGTTCCTCTTCAGGTCCAACAATAGGGCATAGAGGCCGAGGCCTTCCCCTGATGTTGTCTCCCGGCTCTGGGATCCAGAGATTGACTGCCTCTGAACGTGAAGGTTTGCCTCAGTCACCGTGGCTATCCTCCACGAATCTGTCTAATCCCCTTTTAAAGCCGTCTGTTCCTGTGCCCATGACTTCATCCCCCGGCAGCGAGTTCTGCATTTTAATCACTTGTTCTGTGAATACGTACTTCCTTTTTTCTGTCCGGAACCTACTGCCCATCAGCTTCATTGGACACCCTTGAGTTCTAGTATTTTGGGAGAGGGAGAAAAAGTTTTCTTTGTCAACTCTCTCCACCCCATGGATAATCATATAAATCTCTTTCATGTCCCTCCTTCATCAGAAGGCACAGCGAGCAATTAAGTTGTGGAATTCACTGCCATAAGATGAGGCTTACATAGCTTTTAACAGAGCGAAGACAGATGGTGTTTCCAACATCAACCGGCCATGGCATGTCCCTGAATACTCACTGCAAGTGCAGGGGGTAGGCTCCTTCATGTAGTCTTTTCTGCCGCAAACGTGGTACTTGAAAAGGGTTGAGCAGAGTTGCTTTTATGGAGTTGGCCTCCTTTCCTGAAACGATACAAGGTGGAACATACAAACCCAATGATAAGCTGTCAGTTCTGTTGATTGCATTTTTACCCTGCCCTTCCTCCATGGGGTTTCTTCCTTTTAACTTCTTCCTTTAACAGCTTCTTCGTAGAACTTTCGGGAGGGAGGTTAGGCCGAGAGAGAATGCCTGGCTCAGCTTTATGGCTGGATTGGAATTAGAACCCGGGACTTCCTGGTCGTAGTCAAACACTCTAGCCAGTAGAAAAGAGCAAGAGTCCAGTAGCACCTTTAAGACTAACAAAATTTGTGGCAAGGGATGAGCCCCTGTGAGTCACTGCTCACTTAACATAAGAACATAAGAGACGCCAATGTTGGATCAGGCCAAAGGCCCATCCAGTCCAACACTCTGTGTCACACAGTGGCCAGAAATACCAGTGCCATCAGGAGGTCCACCAGTGGGGCCAGGACATTAGAAGCCCTCCCACTGTTGACCCCCCCCAAGCACCAAGAAGACAGAGCATCACTTGCCCCAGAGTCCCTATCTATACAGATAGAATGTGAGTCCATCTGTCCTTATATCTTGGAGAGTGGAGTGATTTCAGATGCCAAATGACAACAGCAGGCAAATGACAGTAGCAGGCATGATTGGATTAGGTGTGCTCTGCCGAGGAGGAGTAGGCGTGCAGACATCAGCACTGATAGCAAGACAGGAAACCTAGGTCTTGATTCAGTCCAGGAGGATGCATCGTCTTGAGCTTCATTATCAGTTGCCATATATGAAATATATCAAGGAGAGTGGAGCGATTTCAGCTGCCTTGGTCCTCCCTCGATTGCCCGGTCCCAGAAGTTTCCTGCACCTGACGTTCATGGTGATGGCCGTGTCTCCCTCAGGATGCCGAGGAGTGCGATAAGGCCGGCAGCGTGGCCACGTGCCAGGCGGTCATGAGAGCCGTGATTGGGATCGGGATTGAGGAGGAAGACCGGAAGCACACCTGGATGGAAGATGCCGACAGCGTGAGTCTATATCCCAAGGGTGGGGGCCGAAGGTCGTCAGGGCGCAGCTGCCCCAGGGTATGGTGTCAACGGGTCAGTGTTGGTAACCCGAGGGTGGGTCCTCGGGAGACGGCACTGATTGCAGAGGGGAGTTCTGATCTCTCTAGCCTTCGCCTGGTCTTGCCACGAGGCTGTGGGTCTCTCTTTAAATGACTGATTCCATTGGTCTTCTGGAATGGGAATGTTTAATCCGATCCCAGATTTGGGGATTTGGTAGCCCCCCCCCCCTGATCTGAAGAAGCGTGCTTGCACACGAAAGCTTTATTTATTATTATTATTTATTATTTATTACATTCAGTTTATATACCGCTCTGACCTGAAGGTCTCAGAGCAGTTTACAGAGAGGTTGCAAGCGCAATTTAATTCCCTTACCTAAGGCCACATAGTACAGGGGATGGGTTAGCTATTCTTTCGGCTCCGGCTTCTCCAGGCGGTCAGTTGGGGTCAGCATCCCATTCTTTTTACCAGGCATATAACTTTTTTGGTCTTAAAGGTGCCGCAGGACTCAAACTTTGCTCTGTCCCACAGTGCGTCGCTCACAACGCTCTGGAGTGCGCCCGGGCAATCTATGCTTACGCCTTGCAAGTCTTCCCCAGCAAGAAAAGCGTCTGGCTGCGAGCAGCTTATTTCGAAAAGAATCACGGAACCAGGTATGGCGCAGTGCGTGGGCGGCTTAGAACGTATTTACATTTTCCTGACAACGGATTGCAAATCATGGCCAGCGCTCCCTCTAAGCTGTGGAGTTTTATGAGCAGAAATTCTACTTTGTGAGCTACTGGCATTAAAGTTGTGAGCCGGCTATTTGGCTGCTGCGTAAATTAGCTTGCTCTGGAGCCCTCCTTCCTGAGCTAAGACCAAAATGTGTGAGCCGGAGGCTAAAAACTGTGAGCTAGCTCACACTAGCTCAGCTTAGAGGGAACACTTATTATGGCATGGGACTTTGTAACAGTAATGATGATTAGTATTGACTGATGGCATCTAATGTGCCCGAAAACTGGGATTTCTTAACCATGGTTGCTTACTCCCCCCCCCCCCCTCCCAGCGATCTTCTGGAGGCTCTCTTGCAGAGGGCGGTCGCCCACTGCCCCAAAGCTGAGGTCCTCTGGCTCATGGGAGCCAAGTCGAAGTGGCTCGCTGGAGACGTGCCTGCTGCCAGGAGCATTTTGGCTTTGGCTTTCCAGGTGAGATGCTTTTTCTTTTCTTTTTTGGGCCCAGTTTTGGAAAGAGAGGTTTCAGGCATGACG